TCATCCAGGCTAAGTCACATCCTATCAATTTCTCACCTTTCTTGGCTCCAAAATGAGAGAAATAAGTAACTTCCTCAGAGGATGATAGAAAGCCAAAAGTCATGGACAGAGTTATATCGGAATCTAACAAGAAACCTGCCTGTCCCTGGGTCCATTTTCCTAATGCTGCTACAAAACCACCATGTTGCCATTTTAAAAAATATTTTAACACATTCTGTATGAACTTATTCTGCTTCTCCAAATTTTCTACAATATGAATTAATTTTACTTTACAGAAAAAGAAACATAAAACAATATTCATGTTATAAAAATTGCATATTCAAAGAAAACATACTAAAACATGCTGCTCCCTAACCTGGCTGACTGCTTCACTTCCAAGCTCCTCAGAAGGACTGGGTGCCCTTCAGACAAGATGGTTAAGGACCAGAGAAGCCTCAAGATGGTACAGGCAGGCAAGGTGGTACAGGCTGGCAAGATGGTACAGGCAGGAAAGAAGGTACAGGCAGGCAAGATGGTACAGGCAGGCAAGATGGCTCCTCACACGCAGTCTCCCCAGCTAAGTCTTCCCAGCCCCTTCCCCTCACCACATCTACCCAACCCAACTCAGCCTTTACAGTGTTGAGGTTATTTCCTCTATGGATATCAATTACCTCCTAAAACTAGCTCACATCCAATCAATCAACCAATAGACCTTAGGTGCCCACATTATGGTCAAGATGCTATGGCAGATGCTGATCCTATTAACTGAGGACAGAAACCTACAGTAGATAGTGTGGTCTGTCACTTAGGGAAACAAGTGTTCTAACCCTGCCCAATCAAATTACAGTAATTACCACTAGCTGCCGTAACAGATAAGCTCCAAAATCTCAATGGCTTAGCATGATGGTCCAAAGCACAGAGACATCAAGACAGAGCTACAGAAGCCAGTGCTCTGCTCTATGCAGTCATTCAGGAACTAAGGATCATTATGTATGCCCCCAAGAGGTGGACTCTAAGGCCACCACATACAGGTAAAGAGAGAAAGCAATGAGGATCCCACATGAGTTTATGTGGGTCAGGCTTGACAGTGACAGGATAGAGGTGGTATTAAAAAATCCAAAATATGGTACAAAGGTCACTGACAACAAAGCTTCAGGCAACTCGGAGCAGGAAGAGCTCAGACTATGTGGCCTGGCACAAGTTCCCCATCCCCCAGCTCATGACCTTGAGCCAAGCTTTAAAGAAGGAATGTAGAAAGGGGCAGAGAGAGCAAACCAGGATACCTAGCACTTCTCAAGACTGGGACTGAAATGTGGAGGCTACAATCTGAAGGCAATTGAGAGGCACTGCAGCAAGTGGATCAGCCTGGCTCAAGGAGGCAGAGGACCCTGAGCAGGGATGGGAACGTGGGCGATGAGGACTGGAGCAGGCTGTGGCAGGCCCTGGCTGTCAGCCTCCACACCTGACCATGACCCCTCAGGAAACGGAGAGCCCCTGGAAGGTGTGGGACCTTTACAGATGGTGCTTTCCACTCGGATAGCTGGAACTACGCATGCTCAGTGGAAGAGAGGGGTGAGAGACCAGAGGCAGGGCACTGGGTTAGTGGGTACTGCTGTAAAGGCCAGGGTCAACAATGGGGCCTCACGGGAAGAATGGGAGAGCAGATACAAGAAAGAATCTGGAGGGAAAACGCTAATTCATCTCTGTGTGCTCTTTCCTCCACACCAGCATCTCCACTGTCACTTTAAAATGGCCTCTTCAGCCTGCATTAAGAAAAACATAAACATTAACAACTACAACCTGTAACTGCTTTTCAAAAGGCAGGATTCGAAACCTTGGTACCAAGAGTCTTGGCAGAGAGATAAATCCTGAGGATGTCTGGGTCATCTAGGTGCCCCAGCCCGGGGGGGGCCTGTCAGAACCCCAAGGAAACCTGTCTTATGAGTGAGAGAGCACCAGGGGTGGCTGGAGCCCTCCAGGAGTCCCTCCTGCTGGGACCTCCTAAGAGTCCACAGAAAAGGTTTGAGAAATATGGCAACCTTTAAAATACCAGCTCACTCTGTACCCAAGGGGCTGGATCCAAGTGGCCTTGTTCCTACTGTATGCCCCATGCCAGGCTCTCCCAGGCCCCCCATAATCCTGAGGAATAAAGAATGCCAAAGTCAAGGTTTCCCTCTCCTCCTTCAGTAGGAAGGGGTGGAACAGGCTACAAAGCAAACGGACACAGCAATACAGGCCCCATCACCCAGGCACTGGGAAACCTCTCCTCCCTTCACCAGCCCCCACTGCAGCAGGTGGCCCCTGCAGGCCTAGCACATCAGCAGGGGGGACACCAGTACCCAAAACAAGCCAGGCAGAGGAGGGAGTGCTGAAGGGTGGGGTGGAGAGGGGTGGGTTCCTTCCATATCACAACTTTCCCTGCTCTCCTCCTCCAGGCTTCATGTCACTACAAATTACACTCTGCAGCCAGGAGGATAACATCTACCTAGTTGCAGCTTGAATTCTTGGCTTGCCCAGGACAAGATCTCAACCCTGCTCTCCTTCCAGCTCTTCCTTGGAAACTGCAAGTCAAGAAAACTCAGCCTTCCCACCCCTGGCACCTGACCCAACCAGTCCCAAGCCCAGGACACCCCCACTCTCCCCCATGGAGTTGCTGGCAGGGCAGAAGCCAGACCCTCAGCCCATCCGAAGCAAGCTCTTGTCTTCTCAGAAGACCCCACCCCCACTGGGTGTTGGCACGCAAATGGTTTTTCCTTTCTGCTTTGCTTGGTGTGGGCAGTAGAGTAGAGGGCAGAGGACCAGGGGCCAGGCCACAAGCTTGTCAGAGATGCAAAGTCTCAGTCCCTCACCCCAGACCTACTGAATCAGAGACTCTGATGGTGGGGCCCAGAAATGTGTCTTAACGGGCCCTCTGTGTGCTCTTTAAGGCACACCAAAGACTGAGACTCACTGGTGCAACAACTAAGAACCTCAATTCCGGAACCAAAGTATCTGCGTTCAAGTCCCAGCTCTACAAGCCCCTGACTGGGTGACTGACTGTAAGCAAGCTATCTGGAGTGGGGTGAGAGCTCCTATCTCCTAGGGTTGCGGTAAAGACTAAATGAGCCCTGCGTGTCTGTAGCATTTAGTCAATACCATTTGGAATTTTATTCTTCCTATTTGGGATATTGAGGGATGCATGACTATATCACATCAAGTTTCCTAATTAAAACCAATACTGAAATGACTAGTGTCCCTGAGTGCAGCTGGACAGTGAGGGAGCTCGGGCTAAGTTGCACTCTCTCTTTGGGGTCCTATGGGTACAGCTACGGCAGGTATCTGTGCAGAATAATAAGGCCCGCCCCATAAGCTTCTCATTCCTCCAGAAATGAACTGTGGGTTTTGTTTCATTCTGTGCCTTGATTTTTTGACACTCAGGAGACGAGCTCCTGCATGACTGCACAGCAGGCCATATGGACAGCCAGGCCACAATGTCTGTGGGGGTTGGGAGGATTGCAGCTTCCCACTGCACAGGTAAGTTGAAGGACCCTGGGTACTTGATGAATGATACGGCGGAGACCATTCTTTCAGAGATCTGCCCACATCCCACCCGGAAGGACCCAGAAAGGATCTTTGGAAAACAGGAAGAGAGCAGTCTGGTGTCATTCTTCTCCCTGTCACCAGCCTGGTCTCTCACTCTAATTGCAGGGAAGACAATGGAGTCAGTTCTTCCTAACGTAGAATCTTCTTGTCATCATACTTAAAACTCCTTATAATTAGGAAGAGACGGGAGATAGAAGTTGTCAAGAACATCGGCTCTGTGGTCAACCCGACAAGGGGTTCTGATTCCGGACCCTACCGCTGACTAGCTACAGGACACCAGGCAACTTAGTTAAACTCTCCGAGCCTTCTTTTCTCATGTCTGATATGGGGATGGAATCCAACTCACTTATGACATCTCTGCACAGCAAGAATTCCACCAATTACTGTAATCATTATCTTTATGATTATCTCTAATTCTGGAACTACCATGAGAACATGTGTTAGAAGCTCAGAAAGGGAGGTGGCAGCCTTAGATCTGCCTTAGACAGCAGCTATGCAAGCCCTGGAGAGCTGCCTGTACTGGAATAGGGAATTCTCAATCTGACCTGGGGGATAACAAGTGTACAATGACTTATCAGTCCCTGGACCAGATGGGACCAGAGCACACTGAATCTCTCTCTTCTCCTAAAGCACTGAAGAGAACATTTTAGATGGGACAGATACAGTAAGTCATCACTTCAAGTACTGGATAGATCCTATGACTTTAAGAAGACTGGCATAACCAATTTTACCACAGGCTAATTGATATGAGCAAGAGCTAAGTTTCTTCAGCATCTCATCAACGTTTTAGGAAATGAGGTTGAACGAATCCAAGTTATTGGAGGACCTGCTGTAATTGGATGGCACACCTCGCTTTACACTATAAAAACCTGTTTCCTCAACCCACGAAGAACTTCAACATCGCCCTCAGGCACTTCTCTGGGAGAAGCCAGGTGTGTTTTTAATAGCAGCCTCCCCCTGGGCTGTGAAATGGAAGAGGAGTCTCATTATTAGCTGTGCAGCCCGCCTCCTCCAATTTACTACCCAAGCGCATTAGCTCCAGACCTGAGGCCTTGACTTGGTAAACATTTAAGCCCACCAAAGTCCCTCCCTGTCAGACTCCACCAAACTCTAAACTGTAACACTGTTTTCTTCCTCTAAGTCAGCCTGCGCCTCCAGTCCCGCTTGGCCACGGGACTGGTTCTGCACTTGGGATTTAGTCGCCAGGTAATGATTCCTGCACGTCCCTGAACGCGGGAACCAGCTGTACGGACATGTTTCCACAATAAAAGCAAACTTAAGGGTAATTCTTTCCAGCAGCCCTGGCCTCTTGGCCAACACAGGGCAGAAAGGGTAAGGAGAGGGAGCGCGCGGGAGCCAGGAGGTGTGGGCTCCCCCGCACCGCGGGCAAGGCCCCGGCGGTTTACCGAGGCCCCGTGGGCGCTGGCGCGCGTCCTTACCATTCAGTTGCCGGTAGACGATATCCTCCAGCAGCGAGAGGCGCTTCAGGACCGCGTCCTGGATGGGGCTGGCGCCGTGCGCGCTGAGGTTGGTCGCCTCGGCGCGCGGCCGAATCTCGTGGAACGCATCTCCGCTGCGCACAGCAATGGGCCGGCACTTGGCCAGAAAGAGCACGAAGCCGGCCACCGCTATCAAGTTCAACACCAGCAGCACTTTGACTCTTCTCAGTGAAGCCATCAAACACGCCCGGCCGGCCCTCGCCCCGGACCCGTGCCCTTTCCGGCTCCGGCGAGACGCGGGGCAGCCGGGACCGTGCGAGCCTCACACTCCACACACCCGGCGGACGGTGAGAACCCCAGCCACTCCCGGCCCCACAGAGTGGATGCTCCGGCAGCCAAGACGGTAGAGAGAGCAGGGCGCTCAGGGGGAGGGCCAGATCGCTCCCATGGAAGCCCTGGGTGTGTAGAAGTGCTCCCGGATCTGCCTGCGTACTCCACGGCGCGCGGCCCCTTCCAGGCGCCTGGGCTTCTCGGGGAAGGGCCGGAGGTCGGGCGCCGCTCCTCTGCACCAGCTAGTGGCCGGTCGCTGGCTCTCGGGCCGCCGGGAGTGGGGCTGCGGGAGCAGAGAACCTCCGTAGCCAGCGGGCCGGCAGGCGGGGCTGCCCCGGCGCTGGGGCAGGAGCGGCGCGCAGGTGCCCTGCTCGGGGTGTGTGGTCCGCCCCCGGAGGAGCGCGCCTCGCCTCGGGCGGCACAGCCACCACCCGAGTCCGCAGGCAACCGTCGCGCCCGCGACCCGCGGCGGTCTTCAGCCCAGGACCCGCTGCCCGGGGCGGGTGCCTTTGTTCCGCTCACAAACCCGCTTCATCACGCCGGGCAGAGGAAAGGAAAGCCCGCGCCCGGCGCCCGCATCCTCGGGGCTCCGGAGTCACGCTCAAGTCCCAATTACTCTCAAAGTGGGAGCAGTACTAGCGGGTGGGTCACTGAGCAGAGCGCAAAGTCCTTTCCGCCCCTTGCGCCTGGGGACACCCCACCCCGCGCCAAACTAACCAGCGCGCTCAGAGCCGCGGGCTCCGGGACACGTTCCAAGTCCCAACACCACGCCTGGAGCCTTCGGGGCCTGCCGGTCACACTGGCCTCTCTCCGGCTGGCGCGTCGGGAGGATGGCCGGAAGGAGGAGTCGGACCTCAAAAGTCACAGCAGTTCTCTGCCCCCCTCCGAAAACGTGGCGGGGAGCGCGGCGGGAGGGACTGGCGCGGCGCAACCTCCGCACGCCGGAACGGGCAGCGCCGCTCGTCCCGCGTCCCTAGGAGCCAAACGCCTAGTCTCCTAATTGGCGGACACAGTGATACCTCCGCTGCGGCACTGACAGGCCATACAGCCCCGCGCTGGAGAGTCCGAGGGGACGCGCAGGTGGCATCGGGGCGCGGCCGAGGGGACCCCCTGCAGTAACAGCTCCTCCGCCGCCGCCGCCGCCGCTGGATACCCCTCCGCTAGAGCCGGTCGGCCGCCGCCCGCAGGCTGCCGGGCGCACAGCTCCCTGGCTCGCCGGCTCCTGCGCGCGCACCCGGAAAGGGTGGGGGCGCCCGGAGACTAGGCACCGCGCGGGATGGGGGCAGTCAAGTCATGTTGGCTGCTAAGGGCGGTGGAGGGACCCTTTGGTTCTCAGCACTCCCCGAGCGAGCGGGTTTGTGCCATCCTGGTTGGCGATGAAGACATCCCTTTCTGTGTGCTCGCAGCTCCGCTTTGCGTGGCCAGGAATGGCTAGAGGGAAAATCTGGCCTGGAGACTTGGATCCTGTTACTTTGGGAATCTGGCAGGGCAATAGTGGGCTGGGTGGGTTCCCTACCTATGAAAATTCTAACGGACGAAGTCACAGTTTCTTTGTCCACCCACACCCCTATACGCATTTTATTATAAGGAGCATATTTCGGCTCCTGGATTTCCGTGGTCTCTTTCTCTCCCCAAAAGCTAGGAGCTCTAAATGCTGGAAATCAAAGCCCCTCCTTGATCCATTTAATTCCTTGATCCTAAAAATGAAACCAGGCTGCCAACTAATAAAGATCAGGCGATGAATCTGGTAGTTTTCACCACATCGTTTCAATCTCACTAAAGTTTTGTTGCTTAATTATTATTTTAAACATTGATTTTTAACATAAAGAGTACATGAGAACATAATCCTTTTATTTCATCCCTTGGAACCCTAAACCTAGGTTCATTGTCATTGTTATGGTTTTTGCTTTGTATAATGTACAAGAAAGTGAATACAAACCAGTCAAATGAAAAAGGCACATCAGAAGCACAAGGAACCAGAGGTGTTGGGCACAAAAGGCATTGAGTAGAAAGAAACCTGAGTTATTGAGCAGTTGTGATATAACAGGTGCTGGGCCAGGCTCAGTCCCCATATTATCTCACTGAATACCCCCATCGAGTTAAGTGTTATTATAACCACTCTACAGACAGAAGCTAGCACAATTAATGGAAAGTTTGGCAAAAATAATTTTTGCACATTACCTGGGCCACAGGACCTAAACTGGGAAGCCTGAGGCATTGAGCTAAGGTCCCCAGGAGTAAATGGTTCTAAACAGGTAGGTCTCATTCCCAAGCCTGTGCCTTTTTGGGAGTAGGAGACAGCAAGCAAAGTGAAGAAAAAAAGATTCTCAGATTAATGAAGTTTCCAGGCAAAACAACTTCAGAGCGCTTTCTTTTCTCTCTCTAAAATCAAAGAGGTCCCTTGTCCAAATTAACTGATTATCTTGCATCTTACAGGCTTCTCCCCTCACCTCTGCATGCATCCTGGACAGCTTTTAGGTTCATAAATAACATCTGACACCCTAGACAAGGTCACACCCTAAACCCTGTCACCACACAGAAGTGCTCCACTCCCTGCTGTCCTGTTCTAAAATCCATCTGGTGACCACACTCCCTAGCTTTTTACCTCTCCCTTTCTCAGTTCCAACCAAATATTCTCCAGCCACCAGCAACTCCTCTCTGCCTCTCTCCCAGGTATCTAAGCCCTTTTATGCCCTCTTAAGTTCCTTCTCTACCTCCCCTGGTTACTCGTGAGTTCTGGGTACTCATTTATTCCCAACACATTCCCAGGAACAGCTACAATTCATATACACTCATACATATGGTGCCTCACTGCCCCAATATGGCAATCTCCGTCTCTCAACAATCTCACCATCTTCTTTCTTGCACCCATACACCCAGGCAAGAGTGTACCTAGGGAAAACTGTGTCACCTGAAATCTTGGGGACATTACCAATCAATGGTGTCTAACTTTAGCTGGATCCTCAATTGTTCTCAAAAACACTGTTCCGCCCTAGTTGGTTTGACTCAGTGGATAGTGTGTTGGCCTGCAGACTGATGGGTCTCGGGTTTGATTCCAGTCAAGGGCTCATGCCTAGATTGCAGGCTCAATCTCCAGTAGGGGGCGTGCAGAAGGGAGCCATCAGTGATTCTCTCTCATTATTGATGTTTCTATCTCTCACTCTCCCTTCCTCTCTGAAATCAATAAAAATATATTTTTAAAAAACACTGTTCCATGTCCCTAACCAGCTCCTCTCCACAGAGGTGTCCAGAGTAGACGTCAGATGTCCATAAATACTCCTCAACCAGATACAAAACTTTTGTATATGTCATATGGGCATTTTTGTGGGGAAAAGATCCATAACTTTCATCAGATTCCCAATGTGGTCAGTGACACCAAAAATTTAAGAACTTCCCTGGAATATGTTAGAAGTGCAAAAACATAATGAGCTAAGTAATTATTGTTTGCCAGCTGTTTATGAAATCAGTCGCAAGAAGGCACGCAAGGCTGGTGAGCTCTATGATCGCTTGCATACCTTGATAGAAGAAGGAAAACTCCAGACTGAGGCCAACAGGTTTGTATAAATGAAGGGTGAACTGATATGAAGGAACTAAATTGAATAGGTTTTGCCTATGGCATCAATTCTCAAGCCCTAAAGGAGCACATCTAGCCACTTCAATTACAGACTAAAATGTTAAAGGATTCCTGTACAGTCATCCATTCCCTGAACACAAAGGCTCCCAGAGGGATGGACGACCTCCCTCAATCACTGCCATCTGTCTGCACACCATTTGCCCCAACCCAGCTAGAAAAACCCACAAAACGACACCTCAGTGGCTGTGTGGCCTGCTCACCAGGAGATCTGGATCCCGTTCCACCTCTGTTGCCATAGAGCAAGTCATTTCTTGACTTTAAAATAACTGTATCCTGGATGGCTCTGAAAATCTGTCCTGATCATAAAACTCAGCTAACCTACAGTTTTTAAAGAGGTTTATGTGGTTAGTTTGTTTAGCAAGCTGAAAGGAGAGAGACTGGTGTATTTCTGTCCATATGTCACCAAGGATTTTGATTCCAAGTACATTTTTCACTCATTACCATGGTTCACAGGATGTGTAGCTCTGACTTGACTCTCACCGTTGCTTGCCTGTTAACAATCCCTCGCATCTCAGCCTGGCCTATCACAGGAGTTCAAAACACTTGTAGGCTCACCAAGGAAACCAGGGACCATGTCTTTACAGAGGCTCGCCAGTCCACTTACCTGCCAGAAGCACCAAGGTGGGGCCTCCACTCTCATAAACCCCTGAGCATTGGAACAGACACTGGAGTTACCTTGTTTTCACTCAGGTACTCCCACTCCACTCCAAGGGCAACTCAATAGCTGGGCCTGGGAATGTTCTTCTGAAATGGAGATGAACCTTGCTCCCATAAGCACAAGCCTCTACTTTACTTATGCATGCAACTTTTCTTGTTTTAATAAAAATTCACCACAACCAAAAATGGTCTGTCACTGAGTCTAAGTGGAAGAAACAAAAAAGAAAGGTGGGAAGGGGAGCATGGAAGGTAACTTTTCACTGCCTGTTCGTTGCCTACTATTACTATGAATAAAAGCTCAGTGCTTGCTGTGACTTTGGGGAGAGCGTGTGGAGGAGAGGCCAACAGACTGGGCACTGCCTGCCATGGGGCACACAGACAGTGTGATGCTGATGCTGCTCGGGAAGTTCTGGCCTGAGTGGATGGGGCACCTGGGAAAGAAAGCAGATGACCAGGGGCTAGAACCATCCGCAAGAGTAAGAGTGATGAAGGCCCGCTACCTGCAATGCCTTGGCCACACTCCCTGACCCCACTCAGCTGCCTTGCCAGCTCTAGTCCTGCAGGGCCAGTCCTGCTCCAGTCAACAAGAGGAGGTCTGGGTGCTCAGGGTCAAAGTTGGGGGCATTTGTTAACCCATTGATCCCCATCCTCTTTTTCAAGGACTAGATCTTTGCTTCTGAGTGTTTTAAAATATATTTTTATTGATTTCAGAGAGGGAGAGAGAGATAGAAACATCAATGATGAGAGAGAATCAATCA